TGAATAAAAATTTTTTATATATGTTAAAGTACTTTTTATTTTAGTAATCTTTCAAAACCTAGCAATTAAATACATTAAAAAAACAAAGTAACAAGAAAAGCTCATAAAAGTCTATATTTTATTAAAATTAATCCAAAATAATTCTAGTTATATTAGAATCAAATTTTATAAGCTTCATCAGAGATATTCTTGATCTAGTAAATAAAAATTTTTCAAATTATTATAAACTAATTAAAAATTACGCATGTGATCAGTGAATATCATACTTTTATTAGACAGATCGACTACTATACTATATACAGAAACCTAGAAAAATATTGATTTATATAGATTACTACAAATCAATATTTTTAGGCCAAATCATAGGGAAATTGATATTTTTACAATTTTTTATGCAGTGTAACAACACTACTTTGGGCAAAATTAAAAGTATAATTTGGGCCAAGCAACATAAATTTGGCCAACCTGAATAGTTGTCAGGTTTCGGGAATATAGACAATCAACAAACAAAATTTTCTAAAAAACATGAACCTAGATCTTCTCCAGCATTGCCACCAATTTTTTCGATTACATGATACCGGGCAAAATTTTTTAAGTTTGTTAATATTAGGGTTAGGGCTTATGACAAGATTAAGTTTATAATGTTTTATAGTAAAATTGTTCAAAGAATTTTTTTTGTTAGGACACAAAAGGTTGTTTCTTATATAAAATTTTAAGCTATTAATGATTTTTGAAAAAGCGAACGTTGTTTTGATCTTTCTGATTGTGCTACATTACACCAAGGTGTGATCCACTATTGGATAATTTTCATGTGATCAAAAAATTTTGTTAGTAATTTGGTGGCATCATGTTATTTAATATTACACCAAATCTTGAATTTTTATTGGTCAATCATGGGCATATCAATATAAATCGATATTTTTGACCATATCAATAGATATTTTTGCCAAATCAAATCAATATTTTTCTGAGTCTCTGGCTATATGGTTATATATAGAATTAAAATGCCAAGCATTAACGTTAACGTTGATGTTAATTAAACTACCACCTGATCAGATTTATTAGCTGATTTTAAATAGTATATATGTTGTGTATCAGATATATTCTTGCGTCAGATTAGATCCAACGCATATCAGATGTCGATTTCTATATGACACACATCACCTGTCAATTGGCCATCTGATGTGCGTAAGTTCTAATCTGATGCAAGATCTTCAAAATCTAATCTATAATAGTAAAAAAAAAAATAAAGCAAGTTTAAACAAAAAAGTAATATATAATAATGTTATCATAAGTAAGGCTATAAAAAAAAACCTTTTTCTTTGACTTTGCCTTCCTTGCCTTCTTTTTTCTTGGAACTTGGCTTGATCAATGTTGGCTTTACATCTCTTGTTGGCTTTTGTAGTCAATATTGGCTTTTGCAGTTGACGTTGGCTTTCATATTCGATATTGGCTTTACATTGCATTCGGCATTGGCTTTACATCACATTTGGCATTGGCTTTATATCACATTTGGCAATTTCTTCACATTCAGCATTGGCTTAATTCTTTGGTGTTACTTATTCTTGGATTTCAGTGAGTCTTCATTTTGTAGCACTTTGTCATATTGTAATTTTTTTTTTTTTTTTTAGCTTTAACAATATAGTTCTAAATTTGTTCTTACTTTTAAGCATTGCAATTTTTTTTTTGCGCTGCTTTATAATTTTGTTTTTGTTCTTGCCTCATTTAAACGTTTGCTTTTTTCTTTTGCACGGCTATAACTTGATCTTATAACAGCGCCAAAGAACAAAGCCAATGTTTAAAGAAGATCAAGTTATAGGCATGCCAAAGAAAAAAGCAAATGATTAAATGAGGCAAGAACAAAACCAAAATTATAAAGCAGTGCCAAAGAAAAATTGCAATACTTAAGGGAGATAAGAACAAGTTCAGAGCTATAATAAGGCTAAAAAAAAAATTATGACACAACAAAGTACTGTAAAATGAAGACGCACTGAAATCCAATAATAAGTAGCACCAAAGAATTAAGCCAATACTGAATGTGGAGAAATTAGTAGACACCACCAATGCCAAATATGATGTAAAGCCAATGTCAAATACAAAAGCCAAGAGATGTATAGCCAACGTTGATCACGCCAAGTTCCAAGAAAAAGAAGGCAAGGTCAAAGCAAAGGGTTTTTTTTTTTTTATAGGCTTACGCATAATAACGTTATTACATAGTCGTTATTACATTTTCTTTTTTTTTTTTAGATTTTGAAAATCTTGCGTCAGATTAGAACTTACGCACGTCAGATGGCCAATTGACAGGTGACGTGCGTCATATGGAAATCGACATCTGACGTGCGTCGGATCTAATCCGACGCAAGGATGCATCTGACGCACAACATATATATACAGAACATCTGAAACTCCATGTCAATCGTCTTTAAAACATGAATTTCCCAACGCAGCGGTACAATCTTGCGCTTAGTTGTATATTCAACTATTTAAATCGCCGAGACCTTTGTGCTTGTTCGCTTGTAAGCAAAAATTGGTGTCAAAATGTCAGGACAAACATTTGGAACAAGCCGGATTTTATTACTGAAGGAGCTACGTCTCTGCAAGCATTTCAACAATTTCTTAAAGCTATAGAGACAATTGCAAGTGAACAAACTAGGTCTTTAATTCAAATTATTGATGTTAGTCAGATTCAAGAGTCGTTATACGAAACTATTGATGAAAGTTGGTTGGCAATAATTATGCAACGATGTCCTAAACTACGTTCTCTTATCATTCGAGACTCTTCTTTTCTTACAACAACGTCGATTCGTAAACTCTGCTCTAATCTTAAACAGCCTCACGTATTTCTTGAACATATAGATCTTTCAAATTCAAAAAATATTACAGAGATAACGCTAAAATCCTTAATTCAAAATTTTCCTGAACTTGTTCAAATTACTCTTGACAATTGCTCTGGTGTTTCCGACAGTTCTGTTTCTCAAATTATTTATTATTGCCACGACCTTCACACCATCAATATAGCAAATTCAAGGTCTTGCGTTACCGACACATCTATATTTGCCATCGCGAAATTTGGAAAACAAAAATTAAGATGTGTGAATTTCCAATCACTACAAAGGATCAGCGACAATTCAATTATTGCATTATCAAATTATTGCAAAAATTTGGTCTCAATAAATTTAAGTAATTGTTCTTTAATTACTTGTAAGGCTTTAGAAAGTCTTTTAACTGCTAATAAGAACACTTTAGAAGAATTTATCATTCATAATATGAAATCAATTCCGATTCTTGAAAGTTCTTTTATTGAGCTACTCATCAGATGTCTTAAATTAACGACACTCTCTATTAGTCTTGGTTACATAATTCCCAAATCATTTGTTAATCACTCTTCTTTTGGATCTTCATCAAAATCTCCACCACTATACACACCTAAATCCTCCGGTAACGACGCTCAATTAATACTTGATCTGTTTGAACAATTCCAAAATTTACAAGTATTGTCGCTTCACAATGTGCCGGAGCATACATCAACCGAATTTTTGTGGAATTTGTTTGAAATATGTGGAAGGTGTGGTAACTGTACGTTAAAGGAGGTTAAAATTTATAGAATGAGTTATGAAAGTGATTTTATTCTGGGTGGATATGCAAAAGTTAAGCAAAATAATGAAATAAATCAAGAATCTGTTAGTAATTTTAATAAAAATCATCCGAATGGTCCAAATATTAAGTTATTGCTGTTAGAAGAATGAACCTTTTTATGTTTGAAGGGGTTTTTTTTTTGATGTTTTGGTGGTATATATATTATATATAGTTTTATATATTTTCCTTATTTATATTCACTTCTTTTTATGTACCACATATAACGCACATATAACGACATATAACGTTGTATATATATAATAACTTCATTTTTAATGCATTTTAAAATTTATTATTGTATTTTTTTTTCTTTTATCTGTTATATGAAATTAGGATTTAAACCCCGTGGCATTTTATAAGCTGGAGCCTTATTTGTCACCTTATTTGTCACCTTAATTTATTTGTCACCTTAAATTTTATAATTGCCTTTAAACTGCAGATTGCTTTAAGTTCGTAAAGAAAGCGATTCTTGTTTTAAGGTATATAATCTTTTTTCTTATACCGAGTACCATACCCTATGAAAATTTCTTATTATAAAAATAAAATACTACGCGATGTATATTACGATTTTATAATTATTTGCGCAATTTATTGGTCGATTATCAGTTATTACACATTCATCTATACGACTAACTACTGACTCATAACCTGTTATATAACTGTTATAATTTGATTCTCTCTTACAGTCTTATGGTTTATAAATTTGATGATCTCTTAATACTGCAATACTAGTACCAGAATACTAATCATACATATCATATCTGGTATCGGCATCCATTTTTTGATCAGATCAAAAAAAAAAAAAATTTTTTTTTGTGCGACTCATTTTATTTTTCTCGAGCAATCAATCTTGTCTTTGATCTTTAATGATGCATTATATTCTTTTACTATCACTATGCAACGCATGTAATCTTGCAGTTTGCATGAACCCAATAATTAATTATCTTGCGCAATTATGCACGTATTTAACGTTAATTGGTCAGATATTGTACTGTATATAATATTGATGGTCGGATGACGTAGAGTTATTCGAGTATTACTGTACTTGTGTAAATCTTGTGATCTTGCCTTTTACACGTGCTTATTTGATATATTTTTTTTTTTATGGTCATTACTTTTATTCTTTTTTAGACTTTTTTTTTTCGGCGACCACTATGTCCTCGCTAGTTTCTCCCGATATTGTTTCTCAACTGAACCAAGTATTATCAAATTTGGCTTCCAATGATAATAATCTTCGTTCAAGTGCTGAACAACAACTGAATGAACACTGGATCGCGCAGCAGCCGGATTTATTACTTCTTTCTTTAATACAGCTTGGAAGATCTCACGAAGAAATACACGTGAGGATCATTTAAAAAGTTTTCATGTATTTATAAAAAAAAAGTGGAAAGATAGAAAGTCTAAGATGGAATTATGACACGCGTTTCATACGGCTTATTATTATCGGGGATATAGGGTCGCTCTTTTGCTTTTGTGCTGCTTCGAAGAATTGCATTCAAGCAAGTTCCAGGTACTCAAAAAACGGACGATGCCACAATATGGGACCGCCTTCAAGAACAGAGTAGACAAGCAATCAAAAATGAACTTTTAATGTCGCTTTCAGTTGAGCGAGAGAATACTGTACGTTATAAAGTTTGTGATGCCGTATCTGAAGTTGCTAAAAATTCCTTCCTCAAAGGACGTAAGTATTTGATTTTATATTATTATTTTATCTTATACTTTTATAATTCGTTATTTCAAACTCTCTTACTTTTTCTCATGTAGAAAAGTGGGGTGAACTACTACCTGCTCTATTTGAAGCCAGTAAATCTCCTTCTGCCGAACATCGTGAAGCTGCTTTACGAATATTTTCTGCTGTGCCTAATCTAATCACCGATCAGCCTATTGATGTTTTAAAACAAGTTTTTTCTGCTAATTTACGGGATGCTGATAATGCACCTGTATGTATAATATAATTAATTTTTATTTTTATTTTATAATTATTATTATTATTATATTTTTTTATTGGTTTTGCTAAAATATTCGGATCGAGCTACTGAAATTAATATATTATACTCTAGATTCGTATGGCTGCACTTAAAGCTGCTGTAGCATTCATGCTGGAAGCAAATCAACCAAGTCGTACTTCTTTTTCTGAATTAATGCCACAAATGCTTGAGGTATGATAAAATTAACCCTAATTCTTAAAAAAGTCTGTAACATACCCCATTTATGGGTTTGAAACTTTTAATTAATAACTCTAAATTTAATAATTTTTAAGATATAAAAATTGCTATAATATCATAATGGCTAAATTTTAAAACATTAGTAAATTTGGATGTTATTAATTTATTCATGTATCGGTGGTTATGCGACAGACTCTAAAAACATGAATACATTATTGGCATTTAACGTGTTTTTGCCATTTCACGCAAAGGTCTTATCTCCACTTGTAGCACATCGTGATGAAGATGGTTTAGTTGATGGTATAATGGTATTCATTGAATTAGGTGAAAACTCACCGCGTGTATTTAGGCCAGTACTCCCTATCGTTATGCCTTTCGCTATAAATATTATGAAAGATAAATCATTTGAAGAGGGTACGCGTCAGACTGCTCTCGAACTTTTGCTTACTTTGTCGGAGGCTTCTCCGTCAATGATGCGCAAAACTCCGGACTTCTGTTCGCAAGTTATCCCCATATCTTTGGAGATGATGACAGAATTGGACGATTATGAAGAATGGTACACAACTGATGACGTAAATTATTTTTTTTTATTTAATATACCATTCATTTATTTTTCAAATATGTTAAAAAATGTTAAATATGTTTTGTATATACCCATTTTATCCATATTCACAGTTAGATGACGACGATAATGATGAAAACTATGTTATAGGGGAACATGCCATGGATAGATTAGCTCGTAATATTGGTAATTAATCTTATAAATTAGGTTAGGACGCATACATGCTATTCTAGATTAATTTGTAGCATTACCATAGCGACTTTGATTTTTGAGTTTAGGTGGAAAAGCTGTACTCCCCATTGCCTTTAATTATATTCCCTCCATGTTGGGTTCAGAAAAATGGGAACAACGTCATGCTGCACTTATGGCAATATCTGCTATTGGGGAGGGTTGTGTTAAAATTATGGAACCTGAATTGGGTAAAATTATCGAGTAAGTTGCAATTAATGTTAGATATATTTTTTTTTAAATAGAAGGATTTTCTTTCGTTAATTCATTTTATTTTATTTACTCCATGCTCCATGTAAGTTTGGTTTTACCGTATTTACGAGATCCTCACCCTCGAGTAAGATATGCTGCGTGTAATGCAATCGGTCAAATGTCGACTGATTTCCAAGATTCTCTCCAAAAGAAATTTCATCAACCTGTACTTACTAATTTAATTCCTATAATGGACACTCCGGAACCGAGGTAAATAAGTCGTTTGTATTATCGTTACATAGTTTTGAGATGAATGTTTCAAATACCAACTTTTTGTCAATTCGACTGTTTACTGTAGGGTTCAAGCCCATGCAGCCGCTGCCCTAGTTAATTTCTGTGAAGCTGCAGATAAGGCAATTCTAGAACCTTATTTGGATCCTATTTTTGAAAGGCTCCTTGTTCTTCTAAATTCTGGAAGAACTTATGTTCAAGAGCAAGCTATAACAACGATAGCTACAGTTGCAGATAGTGCAGAAGATAGATTTGTCAAGGTGTGAATTATATTGAGTCTTTACTATTTGTTCACTTTTATATGATTTATTTATGGTATTTTAAATACTTTTATAGTATTATAGTGCTATTATGCCTTTATTAATAAGCGTTCTTAGAAATGCTCACCAAAAAGAATATCGATTATTACGAGGCAAAGCCATGGAATGTGCAAGTCTTATAGGTACTTATTGTGTTCTTCAAATTCTTCAAACTTTTGTTATTAACACATGTTCACCACATGTCCATCACATGTTTACCATATTATCATTATTTAGCCTTGGCTGTAGGGAAAGAAATTTTTGCACCAAATGCTAATGAGTTCATTCAATTATTGGTTCAAACACAACGTGAGTGTTTAGTTTATTTCATTTGTTTTGTGTTTTTTTTTTTTTTTTTTTTTTTTTACCTAATTCAACCAATAACAAAAGTTTTTTTATATTAATAAATGTGTAGAATCAGTCACTGAACCAGATGATCCTCAAACATCATATCTTATTGCTTCATGGGCAAGAATATGCAAAGTTCTTGGCGCAGATTTTGTTCCATACCTACCTATCATTATGCCCCCTCTTCTGCAATCGGCACAATTAAAGCCTGATTTTGCTATTTTAGACCGTTAGTTTATTATTTTAATCATTTTTATGTTTATTTATTTGATAAATCTGATAATTTTTGATTAAAACCTTTATAGCCGATGATGATATTGATTCTAAATATTCAGCTGAAGATGGTTGGGAATTTGTCGGTGTTGAAGGTCAAGTAAGTATAATGATTCTCATATAGGTTGATATTTATAAAAAACCTATTAATCCAAATATTTGAACAATATTTATGTAGCAAATTGGAATAAAAACGACTGTTTTGGAAGAAAAATGTACCGCTGTTGAAATGCTTATATGTTATGCTCGAGAGCTTGGTCCTGCCTTCCAACCGTACGTTGAGGACGTTTTGGAAATCGTGCTACCACTCTTAAAATTTTATTTTCACGATGGTGTCCGTAATGCAGCAGCAGCAACCATTCCGCATCTCCTTAACTCAATTAAAAAGGCTAATGCTAGTCATGAATATATACAATCAATGTGGCATACAATTGTGAAAAAAGTTATCGAAGTTATCATGAGCGAAGTTGATCCCACCTTTTTGTGGCAACTTTATGTTACTTTTTACGAATCATTAGAAATAGTTGGTGATAATAGTCTTGATGAGTCGCATTTAGAAGCTTTTACGAAAGCTACCGAAGTTCAATTGCAAGAGTTTTATCAAAGAATAAAGCAACGAGAGCAAGCAAGACACAGTGGAGATTATGATGCTGAAGATGAAGATATAATTATGGAAGAAGAGGCAACGGAAGAAGGTGTTCTTGGTGAACTTTCAAAAGCTTTACATGTCATCCTTAAAACACATCGAACGTCTTATCTTCCATCTTTTGATAAGTTGTTACCAATCGTATCCATGTTCTTGGCTGATGCTAACCCTGCAGCTCGTCAATGGGCTTTGTGTGTAATTGATGATGTTATTGAATTTACTGGGCCTGCATCATGGGTTTATCATACTCATTTCTTAGAAAAAATGATTGCATCGTTAATGGATATAGGTTAGTTGAATAGCTTTTTTTTTTTTTTTTTGTTTCGTAGTTATCGTTATAGTTATAGTATCCTCATTTTTATTTTGTTGGTTTATCATAGCCTCCGATGTTAGGCAGGCTGCTGCTTATGGTATTGGTGTATGTGCTCAATTTGGTGGCGTGAATTACTCTGAAGCTGTTGCAGGTATTTATTTTATATTTAAAAATGTAAAAATTTGTTGCTTTTTTTCCTATATGTTAGGCTAACTGTCTTTTTTCCTTGCAGAGGCACTAAGTAATTTATTCCAAGTAATAAATTCTGATGGCTCTAGGAGAGAAGAAAATATATATGCAACTGAGAATGCTATATCTGCTATAACTAAGATTCTAAAATTCAATAATAGTAAAGTTGACGTGAACGCTGTGCTTCCAGCTTGGTTTGCATCCCTACCTATTATCTATGATGAAGAAGAAGCAGCACTTACTTACACATACTTGCTAGATTTGCTAGAAGCGTAAGTCAAATAATTGCCATTATTTCTTATCAATATGTTTTATTAAATTATCAATATAATCTAAGCAACATATCTATTATTTTAGTCAACATCCTCTCGTTCTTGGTAATAATAATGAAAATATTCCACGTATTGTCAAAATTTTCACTGAGGTACTTCCCGCAGTGATCTTACCAGAACCAGTGGCCATGAGAATGACAAACGCATTAAAAGCTATTACGGGTAGTGATACTGGTCATTAATGAAAAATCGACTAAAGCTAATTTTCAATTTAGTCAGTTGATTTTTTTTTTTTTCCAAAATAGGTTGATCGATTCTTATAATAATAATAATTTACTTATAAGCTTTGGATCATTACAAAAGATTTTTTTTTTTTTTTTTTTTTTTTTTTTGTATATTTATTGAGTTATACTTTGAATTATACTTTTCTTGTTTAATATCAAATATTCTTTATATCATTAGAGAAGTCGGGCACAAGTGTTGTATTCAAAATAATGGATTTAAATCAATGACAAGTTCATACAGTATTTTAATTAAGGTTTTAATTAGCCTATAAATATTAGCCGTAATACGGTTTATTAAAGAAAATCTGGATTACTTTTTTTTACTTGACTTTTAGATTTTTTCAAATATTCCAATAAAAAAGATTAATCTCATGAGTCTTTACCAAAACTCTGCAGTTTAATATAGTATTGATACTTGAATCTTATCCCCGTGGATATACATATACATTACGCGTCAATACTGTAATTGCAAATTTTTTAATGAATATTTACAATTTTGGTTTAATTTACAGACCAAACTGTTTTTTATTTCTGTATTTGTTTTAATTATAAGTTCTACACGAAATACGTATTAATGTTACTGTTAACAGATATAGAGCGCTTTAAAAATTTAAGGTATGTATGAGTTTTTAAAAACTTATATACTATCCCTTAAACCGTCTAGCGGACAAATTTGTCCGCTAAAATTTTTTTGATCACACCCCCATATTCTCTAAGCTGAAATAAAAGCATGCAGAGCTTCCTCAAAATAACCTAGATAGGGTTGATCGTACTATGATCTTTACGGTCAAAATTTAATATAAAAAAGGAAACTTTCACGTGACAATTATAAAAAATCTTCACGTACCTTTTATAATACAATATTAAGATTCTTTACGATCAACTTCACAAAACAGATTTTTGTAAATAATACTGGAAGAATAAAGTGCCCTGAAAGCATAGGTTAAATGACACATTTTACAGCTGTTGTGTGAACTTATGCCTTTTGATCGAATCAATTCGAATATGTAACACTGTGGCTGCTGAGTGCGACGTGTAGGTCAAGTCTTTGGGAATCACAATAGCTGATTAGAATAAAGATTTTCATTAAACTAGACAACCAAACAACTTATAATAGTGGAACGGAAGAAGAATTCGGAATATATATTAATGCTAAAAGCAATCGATTTGCATAGTCAGCCAAGCCAATTTTTAAATTTCGACTTGGTCGAATCGACAAATATAGGTCGATTAAGTCATAAAGAGACTAATTCAAGGAACTGTGGACATGGCTTATTTACATTAACCAGAATAAAATTTTTATCGACTTTAAATCTATTTAACACAAATAACATGAAAAGTATTTTTTATCACGTGTTAGTATTGATAATTTCAATAATACAATAATATTTAGCGATAGGTATGTATAATAAAAAATTTTTTGGGTTTATTTAAATCGATTGTAGTCGAAGAATATTAAATCATTTAACGACTTTTTTTGATTATTAGACAAATACAATGCAAAATAGATTTATATATAAACTTTAAATTAAAAAAACTTTTTTTAAAATTTTATTAAATATTCGTTTTCAAAAAAATAACATAATTAATATACAACTTTTTAAGCTAATCTTTAATAAAATACTAGAGAAATAAAAATATTTTAAACTTACATGAAAGTTCGAATACAAAACGGCAATACTTTGAGATACTTAGTTTCAGAGATAATTACTCTTACTTGTCCCAACCACCACGTAGAGGTGTATCTCGTCGGTTGGGAAGGCGAACCCCAACCCATCTCTCTTCCACCGGTACTAGTCGTGGCTCGTTTCCCGGTTTCCGAGCGGGTTGTTCCCTTGAATCATGAATACCGAAGTATTTCATCAAGTAGCTTTTGCTCCAGTTATCCTCTTAGAGCTCGAGAAAAACCGTACCGTTAAATTTTACTCCAAATAACAAACGACGACTATTAAATGCGTAAAAAATAAAAAAAGTTAATTAAAAAAAAAAAGCGAGATAAAAAATGAGGTATGCGAAAAAGGTGATCTTTATATGTCTTTTTATCAATGTGTTTATTTCTGATGAAAACGCGACTTTTGAACGTGTAATCAATTAAAAACCTGTTTCAAACCAGTCTGTTTTTTGCTGTCATTAAATTTTTGAGAGCATGATGCATCAAGAACGTCATCTCAATTTAGGGTGTAATTTAGGCCTATCAAAAAAAGTGATGATCACCTGCGTAAAATTAATCTAATTGGACAATTAAAATATCTATCGGTGCAATTTTCAGCGCGTCTTTTATTGATTTAATAACACGGAATGGAAAGTTATTATAATCATAAACAAGCATTTATAGAATCACAAATTCGTTTGCTCGAGCAAGAATTCATTACACCTTCAGAAGCTTGGATATCAAAAGTTACTGAATCACCAGCGGAAGAACGAATTCCTTTAGCTGTTGTTGACACCGTTTTAAGCAAATGTAATTAAAAATAATAAATCGTATTAAATCACTTGATTTCTTCAAATTTGACGCGTTAAATTAACCACTATTGTATTTTAAGTAAATCAGAATAATAGGAAACATCATGTACAAATATTTAATCGCCAATCGATGCGCCAAATACTCGAACAACTTCAATTTATCTACGATCAAAAATGTAAAGACGCTTTAGAAGGGCACATCAGAGTTGAAAAAAAAGATTATAATAATATCAAGTAACTCTCAAAATATTTAAAAAGCGATTGTTGTATCGATCACTTTCTTATTTTTTTCATATTAATCAGATGGATCGAATCATTTCCCGAAGAATGGCCACAATTTGGAAATTTAGAATATGATCAAGAAGAATTAGACAGGTTCGTATAAAATTGCTAATAAAAAAAATTTTTTTAATAAATATAAAATTCAATTTCTTTGTTCTCAGATACGCTGATTTGCGATCACGTGTAAATCAAATTCAAAAAAATTATATTACAATGAAGGAGAAATGTGAACACTATAAGGTAAGAATTTATACATTATCATTTTATCATTTTAAGTATCGTATATTTAAAAAAAAAACAGAAACTTATAAATCTTACTTTAGAATCTTCGCGAAGCTCTAGCACCGTTAAATAAATCAACCATACAACAAAATTTGGTTGCAAAAAATGCGCCTGTTATTAATGAAATTAACAAAATGAGGATATTGTGTAAATAAATTTATTGAGTTTTTTATTACTATCATTTCAAAATATCTAACGAATTTAATTACTGTTTATTACAGTGCCAAAACTATTAAGTACATTGCAAAGAAAATCAGGGTTTCTTAAGAAAAAACTTAATGAGAATTTAAAATCTGAAAGTCAAGGTAATATTTAATTTTTAAGATTGCAATAATTTTACATTTTCATGCATCTCATTATAGAGCTTTTAATATTACAGACGGTGAAAACTTTAGAAATACGCTTGATATTGTCAAAGATATGTTCAAAGCTGAAGAGTAAGGCAATAATTGTGCTTTTTCCTCCTTTTTAAATAAATTTACATCAAAAGTTATGCGAATATTTGGAATCGTAAAGATTGTAAAATTAAAATTCTTAAAAATTCTCTCCAATTCAATATTACGCATAAATCATTCATTTTTATTGCCATAATTAATAAGAATAGCACATAAAATAAAAAAAAATTCCCTAAATGAAATACGAATAAATGCTGTTAGAGTTTTGTATTAATAAATATAATATTCATTTTATAAGTAAATATTCAGAAATTTGGGTATAGAAGTTTTGTCAACAGGTTTAATTCTGACTGACGTGCAAATTAAGACTTATCATCATAAAATATATTCATTTCAAAACAGGCATCAACAATCAATATCGATATACTAACCTAAACATATTCAACGAATTTAAAAGTTTTGATTTTAATCATTGCTCAGGTTGGTTAATTTTAGAAAAAAAGATGCCACATCGTCACGTGTATTGATAATAATCAAAAAAAAAACGCGATAATCTAACATTCTCCCTCGCCAGCAAAAATGTCTACCGGTATACATGACAGATATGAAAGTCCCCTAACTTCAAGATATGCATCTCCAGAAATGGCAGCGCTTTTTTCGCCAGCAAATCGATTTTATATCTGGAGACAATTGTGGCTGAATTTAGCAAAAGCAGAAAAAGAATTAGGAATTAAAGGTATAACTGATGAAGCTATTGAAGAAATGGAGGCTCATTTGGTATTAAAATTTAGAACTAAGTGTTATTTATGGGGTGAATTAATAGAAACCAAATAAATTTTTTTACAATGAAATTTTTAAATTTGACAAAGATAAAAATTTAACAAATTTGATCAAAAATTTTTTTTTATAAATTTGATCGAGTTAAAAAAAAAAATTATCTTGGTTCCTGCTGACCATATGTATAAAAAACTTTTTTTTAACATCAATCATTTTTGTTTGAAATTAGACATTAACAAAAGAAGACTTTGAAATAGCAAAAATTGAAGAAAAAAGACGCCGTCATGATGTAATGGCACACGTGTATGCGTTTGGCCAAGCAGCTCCAAAAGCTGCTGGTATCATTCATTTGGGTGCTACAAGTTGTTACGTGACGGATAATGGTGATTTAATAATTATTCGTAAGGGTCTTGACTTATTATTGGATAAATTGGCTAGGGTCATCCATCAACTTAGCAGATTTGCTGATGAATATAAAAGTTTACCGACCTTGGGATTTACTCATTTTCAACCGGCTCAATTAACTACCGTTGGAAAACGAGCCACACTTTGGATCCAGGTAAAGATGATTATTATTTTTTAATAATAATAATCACGATTGAAGCTGAAATTGGCTGGTGCTGATATTTGAGATATTTGAATCTGATATTTGAATTTATTTTACTGTGAAATTTAAGTTTTTTAGGGTTAGACTAGGATATGTGATTAGAGTTGTATAAGTGGATTTTAAAATTTACCCGAATTTCAGCATCAGCCACGACAATAATTTTATATTTATAATAATAATTTATTCGGTTTTATTTTAATATTAAAAATTATGCAGGAGCTGTTATGGGATTTGAGAAATATAACAAGGGCTAGAAATGATATTGGATTTCGTGGTGTTAAAGGTACAACCGGTACTCAGGCTTCATTTTTATCTTTGTTCGATGGGGATCATGATAAAGTTTGTCTTCACATCATTCATATCATCTGATTGTGTTTTATATAGTGCATTTTTAAATACTTAATTATAATTATTATCTACTTAGGTGGAAGCTCTAGACGCACGTGTCTGCGAGCTTTTTGGGTTTAAAATACTTTATCCCGTAACGGGTCAAACGTACTCTCGTAAAATTGACATTGATATTTTAAATCCTTTAAGCTCTTTTGGTGCTACAGCACACAAAATTGCAACGGATCTTCGATTATTAGCTAATCTTAAAGAAATTGAAGAACCATTTGAAAAAGATCAAATTGGTAGCAGCGCAATGGCATATAAAAGAAATCCCATGAGATGTGAAAGGGTTTGTAGTTTAAGTAGGCATTTAATGGTTTTGGCACAAGACGCTTTAATGACTAATAGTGTGCAATGGCTTGAAAGAACTTTAGATGATAGGTTTGTTTGTGAATGAATGAATGAGTGCGTCTTTTTTTAATTTTTGTTTTGAATTCATACCGTCTTATATATATATATATATATAGTGCCAATCGCCGAATCTCTCTTCCTGAAGCATTTTTAACAACTGACATAGTCCTATCCTTGCTTCAAAACATTTCTGAAGGTTTGGTAGTGTATCCACTAGTGATTCAACACCACATATCACAAGAACTTCCATTCATGGCCACAGAAAATATAATCATGGCAGTTACTAAAAAGGGAGGCGATAGGCAAGAATGCCACGAGAATATTCGAGTTTTAAGCCACCAAGCAGCTAAAGCTGTTAAAGAAGGAAAAGAGAATGATTTAATCGAGAGGATTAAGAAAACCGAATATTTTAAGCGTATTCATGATGAGGTGTGATATTATATAGGAGTACTTGCAGTATTATGATACTCTCTAAATACTACATGTTTGTACATCATACTGTATTGCCAAATTGATTGGTTATTAACCAACTATGTGGTACTATGTGATGAATATCCATATAACATTTAGGAATATCATCTATACTGCAAGTTATTTATGTGATTAAATGTTTGAAGTTTGAATTTATTTAATAATAATTTTTATGTTATGCTTAATTTTATAGATCGATTCTTTATTAGACCCATCTACATTTATAGGCAGGGCACCACAGCAAGTCGATAAATTTATAAAGGAACATGTCAACCCTGCTTTAGAGCCTTATTCAGAAATATTAAAACAAGATAAACATGTCATATTATCTGTCTAAAACACTTATTACATGAATAAAATTGGCAATAACTAAGATTTAAAATTTAAGAATATTAAATACAGTAGATCTTTTAAATTTAATGATATTTGTGGCCTTTGTTAGGATTTCTTTTTTCCTAAAAATAGATTTATTGTGATTCTCCTAATCAAAATCTTATATAACAGTGGTTCGAAAGGTGGTTTTCCTAGCAAGTTAATGCCATTAAACATATTTTCAAAAGTAATGTATATGTCTCATCTCTGATGAGCGCTTATAATGATGAATGGATGACTTAAAGAGAACACACACAACATTAATCCTGTTTTTAGCCATCAAACTATAAAAGCTAGGTATTGGATATCAATGCGTGCCCGGAACAAAATTTATTATATAAGACCGCTTATTTACTTCTTTTACTGTACGATAACTTTCTAATTGAACAAAAAAAAAAAAGATTTGAGCCAGATTTTGTATTAGAAAAATACCTTCAAATCGGAACTCGATGAAAAAACTCTCATAGTCCTTACATTACAGGACGTCTGCGCGTTAACCCAAAGTATAAACTGCGTTATTCCCGTTTTACTAATTGTTATTTACGCGTCATCTTGGCAATGACTTAAGTTTAAACTCAAATAGGGAAACAGATTCCGGCCGTCAATTAGTAAAACGAGAGAATAGCGCATTTATTCCCCGCTACGAAAACGATTTGCATGTATCCATGTAGCAGGTAGGAAATCGACGAATTTGGAAAATTTTATTAGTAAAAATTATAGTCGTTTTCAAAAATGTGCGACGATTTCCATATACCTATGTGGAAATCGAAGAATTGGGAAATTTAGATTAGTAAAAATTACAATAAACTTCGGGTCTTAGAAAACTCCGGAATATTGTGAATTCGCCATGACATGGTGATCTGCGACTATATCTGCGACCGTTCACACTAGCTTTAAAAATCTGAAAAATATTTTGAATTCCCTATATTACAGTGATGGTAAATGATAAAGTCAAATAAATGACATGCCATTTTAAAATAGCAATGTCATTTAGTATAAAAAAGTTTTATACAAAACCATGTCAATATGAAGTCCTAAAAAATATTTTATAAATGACATTTAAGTGACAAATAAATGACAATAATACTAACATATACACATAAGCTTTAATTTATAATTCATAAAATTATAAAAACAGCAACTTTTAAGCTAATCTTTATTATCTTAATGGACTTTTCTTCGACTCTTATATTATATATAGTAAGACATTACATTAAGTATAATATGAAGAACTGTTAGTAATTATTTAACGCTAACCATAAATAGTTGTTAGAATAATATTTAACGCTATATATATATATATAACTATAAAGAGCTATTAGAATAATAATTATTGTCGTTAAATTTCACATTGCCCCTCATTCACGCGCTGCTGGTCTTTCTACATCTTGTGTATTATGTAAATGAAGCGTAGATTGTTCACTTATTGGAAAAATCTGCAAATTGTTATAATTGATTATAAATTTAACCCATCATTTAATAATAGGTCTAACATCTTGTAATGAATAAAAAAAAAAGGCCGATTCAAATATAATGAATAAAACAAAAAAGATCGATTCAAATATAATTTAAAAAAAATTCATTATCTTTATTAATGTCATCAATAAATATGAATTACATATTAGTATCTATGGTATATTACATTTAGTCTCATTGTCTGCATTTAAGAATCGCCCGAGTCATTTTTAAAGAGATGAAAATTTAAAAATGGCATACCGTAAAGTGCTGACTACACTGACTCCCATAATTATTGTTCCACCGCGTTTAAAATTTTTAGAGCGCGATATTTCGCGTTTGGTGAAACAAATAACTAATAAATTTCAATGATGTAAAGCTCTTAATTTCCTTTATTTAATGTTATAATTTTACAAAATAATTTTTATTATTTTTTTAAAAAAAATTTAAATTTCCACAATCTTTGTGGAACAATAATTTTGGCGTAAAACCAAAAAAATTTTACATGTATTTTTTTTTAATTTATTTTAAGTAAATTAATTTTTTTTTTTTCTAAAATTTACCATTTAGTATACCCCCTTTAGCTTTGAGAACATCCTTAATTTAAGGCATCATATTGATTA